CAACATTTGGCAATAAAACCCTTTCTGATTCTGATTCTGATTCTTCTGCGTGTGTTTTAATAAACTCATTGTTTGATTGCACTCTTCTGAGCCTCTGTTGGTTTGTTTCATTGCTCCACATTGATTGAATTCTGGACAGCGACCTCTGAACTTTAGCGTGGATGCTGTGTCCTGTCACAGGATGTTTCCCTCAGTCAGCAGGCTGGGTTACAGAGACCCGCCTGCTGTTTATCAGGAGGATTATCAGTAGAAGCTGTAATTACTGTTCTTTGACACTATAAATATATATGGTAGCAGGCTGAGGGGCGGAGCCTGTTCGTTTGACTGACACTCTGTCGCGGTTAATGTTCACATTATTGCAGCTGTTTGTTCTGTACTGAGTGTTTCCAGCAACGGCCGCCATGACAGAGACTGCAGTACCTGTTGGTGACCTCTGACCTCTGTTGTGTTTGGGGCTAATAAAAGCTGTGTTCCTGAAGTCGAGCAGCGTATGGAGGCCGGGAACCGCAGGCCTATATGGAGACGTCTGTCCCCTCCTGTGCTTAAACTCGCCAGTGTTCTTTGAGGCGGCGTTGTGTGCGAGGAACCGGCGAGGATGAAGGCAGAGAGGAGCTTTGTACTGAGACAGAGCTCGCTCTGCCTCTCAGCTACATCACAGTAATCATTCAACACGCGTATATTACTTTTATATATCTATACAATGTTTGATCGATGACTTGGTTGCACTTTGGATTTTCAGCTGACCGCCCCAAACCTCTGCAGCAGTGCTGGCAGCACTCACAGGTGAGGCCCTCAGCTCGGCCTGTGCTGGATGCAGCCCGTCCTACGGAGCTGCAGGTAACCTCAGGGTGCGCTCACGTTCAGACATGGCTGTGTGGACAGCACATTGTTACTGTTATGCCAGCTGTACGCTCACTACTTTACAGTATTCGTATCACATATGTTCAGTGTTGTCCTATGAACAGATATAAGAAAAACTGTGGAGGGTGTACTCGCGGATACCTGACACGTCACACTTTGTTCTCCTTTGTTTGTTTCCCAATCAGCAGAACATTTAGCTGTAATAGCATCACGGCTGGTATTTACAGAAATATGAACAGCACGATGAACAAGCAGCAGCTTCCTGAGCAGCAAACTCACAGAGGGAATAAACTAGATCAGCTGAGTGTGTGTATGAGCGTGTGCTGTTTGTATATTATGTGTGTATTCATACCTCGTGCACTCACTGATAGATATTGAGGCAGTGAGATGATTGCTGCTGTGCAATCTCTGACCAGAAAACTACAGTAAAAATGTACCGAAGAACTGAATAAAGTAACTTAACAGATTAAACATGAACATCAAAGTAAAGTAATTATTACTTAAATTAAGAATTTAACCTAAGAAGTCTGAACTAAGAGTTAGAGTTACATTTGAAATAAACAGCTTGCAGTGGAAGGTATAGTAATGAGCTGCATTATTATGGTTCGAGTCCATTCTGATTCTGATGTGCAGTGATGCGATGTATGAGCGAGTCCAGTCCTCCAGTCCTACACCTGGTTCAGGGCCCGGATAGCCTGAGGGAAGAAGCTCCTCCTCATTTTCTCTGTTTTGGCCCTAAGGGAGCAGAAGCGCTTCCAGACCTCAGGAAGTGAAGAAGTGATGTGGTGAGGCTGAAGATCTCCGTGAACACCGGTGCTAGCTGGTCAGCGCAGGCTCTCAGGACCTGACCTGGGATTGCATGTGGTCCTGCTGCCTTCCTGGTGTTCACTCTCCTGAAAGCTTTGCTGCTGATGAAACAGCAGCTCGCAGTGACAGCAGCGCTCACTTCACCTGGATCCTTCAGTCTGTCGTCCTAAAGGTGACCCTGCTGCAGCCTGCTGGGACCGTGAGGCTAGGGTTGCCAACTCCCTGAAAAATAAATAAGGGGCACCTCGTGGCCAGGGCCAGGAAACCCAGTTGTCTTCACCCTTCCCAGTGTGGTAGCTCTTTTTTGTTGTGTGTGAAATTACTTTTAAGCATTTGACTTGAATTTGATTTGGAGCAGATGCATATTCTTTGTGATATGACCATATGGGAAACAAATGATCATTCAGCCATTTATTTTTAGCTCAAAATGACAACATTAACACAGTAAAACAGGTCTGTTTCTTAAACAGAAGCCTGTCATGCTTAACTTTTGAGAATATAAGTAAATCTTTCTTTAAAAGAACTCTGTCCTGCTTAACTTAAAATTATATAAATTAATAGAAAACAATAGAAAGAAAAATATTCTTGTAACTGTGCACATTTAGTGCATTTAGTACAACTGGCTTCAGCTGAGGTATTATTCCAGCTTTTCTAAAGCTAATCAGCTGCTCCTGTTTGTAAACCCGCTTGTTCCCATGATTACGCATCATAACTCATCATCATTATTCATCTATGTATTACTTTTATGTATTAGTCATCTATTTGTTGTAATCATCTATCCTTGCAGTTGTTTATTACACAAAATAAGTTATATTATCACACTTCTGGCCACATAGCGCTGATACTCACTGCACATGCCCATATTAACCTTAACCAGAGGGTTTAAACAACAAACCAGTGTTTACATCCCATATCTGCTTCTGCCGGCCTGGTGGACAAGAAATTGGTTAAGGGTTCCCCGAGCTGTCACGCCCCTCGTGTTCTTCATGTGCCCACCACTAGAAGCATGCCTATGGAAAAAGTGCGCCGGCACACAGTGCAGTGCGCTTTATAGGTGTTATCGTGCACTTTCCCAGCCAGGTGTTTTCCTTTTCCCATTCCTCCCTGTACTTTTGCAGCCTATTTTTCTTTCTCTGAGCGAACAAACATTGCTGCTCTAATGCTGGGCTCACACTGTGCGGTTTTTGGCCCATTTTGAGACGATTTTTGAGTCGTGCGACCGTTTTGGTGATCGGCCCGATTTTGGCCTTCATCGTGCGTCGTGTAGTATACGTGGGGTAACGAGAAGTGATTAACACCTCGAGCAGCTCCCGATCATCAATCGCTCGTGAGGGTGTCACCGCAGCTGCTCACGCGCAAACACGTAGCCGACGGAGCAGCACGGCAAAAGACGGAGCAGCACGGCTGTGCAGCGTGTGATCTGGACACAAGCGATGGAGGCACAACTTGTAGAACTTTGGAAAGCTCATCCGAGCCTTTTCGATGTGGCCTCACAAAATTATCACGACCACAACAACCGTGAAAATAGTTGGATTTACATGCTGCTCAATCACAGCTGCCTGACCAATGTTTTTCATTAGCAATTTAGCAAAGTTGATGGTGGTGGTGTGTCTGTGTGAGTGAAAGACAGAGAGAGAGATTTTCTGTTATAACCTTCATTTTATGGACGCACAGTGTGAGCACTCAGGTCGCATCAGAGCATCGGGCCGTATAGTGTGAGACCTGCATCGTGACCTATGAACTTATAACCCCTGCGAGTCAATCGTGCAGTTTGAAAATCGCACAGTGTCTGCCCAGCATTAGGTGACTGTCGTCCGAGACTTGCACCGCAGTGTGGGCGTTTGTTTCCCTGTTGGCCATGCTTCTTGTTGTGGTCATCTGTTGTCTTCCGGTATTTTCTCCGTAAGCGACCTTTCCTCGACCAATGAGATGAGCGGTAATCTGAATTGTCATACTCGAATTGTCATAAGTGTGCTGTCAGCTCATTGGTCACAAAGCAGGAGAGGGGCTGGGAATTATGTTTTCAAACAAAGCGTTAATTCCATAAACATTTATAGACTACTTTTGATTCTCACTGTATTACGGGACAAAGTGCGGGACGATTCCGTTTTTTAAGCAACCCTACGTGAGGCCCGGTTACTGATAAAGGCATTTAAGTGTGTGTGTGTTTATCTGAGTGTGCGTGTCTGTGCGTGTGTGTTGGTATCTGTGTCCTTGTATCTTGGTGGGGACCTGGGTTTGGCCCCACGGGGCTGAGGGCGTTTCCACGCTCAGCACGTGGTGTCAGGGCTACAGCTGGACTCATTTTTCATGGTTCGGGAAAGCATTATGTCAATGGGAGGTCCCCACGAGGATATAAATACACACACGTGTGTGCGTGTGTGTGTGTGGTGGGGGTGGGGTCACTCGCTGTTTCCTCTTTGTTTTTTTTCTTTGACCTTTCCCCCGGAAGTGGAGCAGCTGCTCTGCTGTTAGCCGCTCCGGACTCTCGATCGTCTTTACCGTCAGAACCGGAACCTGCGACCGAACCGGAGGGACCATGGAGCCCGTCCCCGCTGCACCGGTAAGCACACCTGCCGAGCCGAGCAGGGCTGAGCCGGGCCGATCCCCCGGACACGGTCATGTGAGCGGCTAAGCTAACCGGGCTAGCCCCGGTGATCTGGACTCCGGTCAGGAATCCCTCAAACTGAGCCGAACCCGAGCCTCCCACTGCGGCTGCTGTCAGCACCGTCCCAGCTGGAGCCAGGCCCGCTGTGAGGGGCTCCGGGTCCGAGCAGCGGACACTGAACGGAGTCCAGACTCGGTTACTGATCCACGGATTGGTTCGACTGATTATTGATGAGCGATCGATGTTACAGGGCCGTAGCCAGGGGGCTTACGGGGCGGGGGGCTCATAGATTAACCTCCTTAAATCAGAGTCGTGAATCTTTCACTATAGAGAACAACACAAAACTTTATTGATCCTGGAAACAGACAAACATCACAGCATGAAACAACCTGAACACGTGTAAAAGATAACACGCATCATCAGGCACGGCGTCCGAGTCCCAACTGGAACTGGAAAGTCCTTTTCTCCTTATGCCGCCATCTTCCACAGGTCGACAGACCACGTGACTTTCGCGCATTGCATTGTAGGTATGAGTGGCAGCAAAATCAATACACTGCATCAAGCGCTAGCATTTCCAGCACCGGTAATCATTAATTCTGCGGTTTTAATCCCTACTTGCATTTTATTTGCCCCAAAACAGTTCTGTACAAAACGAAGGAGAACTCGGCAGCTCCGCACGAAGACAGACGTGACGAAGAGGCAAAAAAAATCCAAGGAGTGAAAGGGTCAGACCCACACGAGCATACAGAGTGGAGTAGGGACGTTAGCCTGCTGCCCGACTTTCATCACGCACATATTTATTATTATACGGTCCGAAGCGTGAGTGCATGCACTTCACGTTTATTAACGTCAGATCCCTGCAACAAGCCCAGCTCCAGTTTACTTTGGTGATTTGGACGATTCCATCACAGCAAACGCATCTAATTGTCATTTCAGGTTGTAGTGTTACACAACATTTTCAGATGCAATAGAAATAAAATGAGTGTTTCGTAATTCATTCAATTTATTGTCTTTATTTATAACTGGCATTATTATTTCGTTCTATTATAGAATCTTACAGGAAAGAGGCAACATTGTATTCAATTGTGCTTTATTAGCTGCTTCAGTGAAAAACAAATCAACAATGCAAAAAACATATCAAAACAAAATACTGGAAAACAGTTATTCATCACTTGCTTGCTTCAATGCAACACTTGGGCACATGTATGCAGACTTTTCGTGCCTGCTTTGATCTCGCTCTCTCTCTTAACCGATCAGATCTGGCTGTGGTAGCAGCTTTAAACTCGGTCTGACCCAGGCTGATAGAGGGGCCCAGCCTGGATCACATTCCAGCATTTTGTTGGCTGGTTTTTCTACAAAACACAACAAACATTAGCCTGCAAAGCCACAGTGAACAAAGCAGCAACGAATTCAATTCAAATCAATATAAGACTTATTTGTAACCTACATCAACAATTATGATAAAATACGTAATAACTACAACAGCAGACTGACCTGTGAGCTGGAGTGTTCTGGGACGTCATATTTTGTCTTTGAATGGCTGCAATCCAGGCCATCCGTCGCCTCTTTGTTACTTCGGAAACATGGCTCGAACAATTTCTCTTCAACGACGTAATCCGATAACAACCGATCTCTTTACCCGTCGGCTTCCCGTGGCTGTCATGCGACCGGCTGTTGCAGTTAATAATACAACAGCCTCTTGCCATCTTTTTGTGTTTCTTTTTATCGCTGTGTGACTGATTTCACGTGAAAGCCTGCGTGCGCTAGTACTGCTAGCCACTCGTACCTACAATCCTTTGCGGTTTTACCCCAGAAATGACGTCACATTTTTATTCAAGTCGCGGTGGTGTGCACGTCAGGTTCTGTAAAGGTCATGGTGTCAGGTTACAATCCGGTCAGTGTAAGTTACCACGCAGAGTTCCTGCAGGAACACAAACACCCGTGTCTGCTCAGCGCCAGTTTTGAGTCCTGCAGGAGAAACTCAGGAACGCTGTGATTTGATCTTTGATGGACTGGAAGAAAAATGTGCACCATGAGGACGCTGAGCTCAGCAGTGCATGCTGACTGCAGGTTAGTTAGGCTGACAGTCGCACACGCCACCTGATCAATACCGCCCCCGGTGTTCCTCATTTCGATAATGCAGTAATCTGATTACTGGCTTTGTCTGATTGCGTCTTGCCCAGCTGCATTCAGTTCAATTTTATGTTCATAGCAGCTAATCACAACGACAGTCACTTCAAGGCGCTTCATATTGTAAGGTAGACCCTACAATAACACCCCGACGATCAGATGGGACAGTGGGAATGAAATCCTCCCGTATTACCAGGAAGAAACCTGCAGCAGAGCCGCTCAGGGAGGGGCGGCAGGATTAAAAGGTTTGGATCTTCAGAGATGGTGTCTGTCTCCTGACTGAAGGGGCCTGAAAACTGAGGAACTAACCTCAGCCTATCCGACATGTCAGTGCTAAATAAACTAGCTTCTACGTTAGCTTTCAGTAACGCATTACCTCCCTGTTGCTGTGTGTGGAGCTCCATGAAGCCCCACCCACAGTAACAGTCCAGCACAGACGCAGAAATGAGCCCTGCTCCTCCGCCCTTACAGCCCCTCTGCACATTACTCAGAATGTTGTGCAGCACAGTTATTGCATACATGCGTGTTAGTGTGTCACAGGTGATTGTGCACCGTCACATGTGGACAGACCAGCTTGTTTGCTAATGTGAGCTGACCTGTGAGGACCCCTGGTGGCCAGTAACAGAACAGCTGTGCTCAAATTTAAAGCTACAGATGTCTGTTTGTGTTTGAAAGGTTCAAATCCTTCATGAAGTCACACCCGTCACTGCAGCTGCTGCAGAGTCATGTGACCCTGAATAAGAATGAAGTGTGTTTGTGCGGTCACGTGTGTTTCACCCGTGCGATGCTGTCTGAAATCTGTCCTTCCAGGCTGAGGAGTTCGCCGGCATTCAGGTGAAAACGGAGCCGGAGGGCGACGTGGAGATCCGCTCGTACCCGATCCTCAGGAAGTTGTCGGTCAAGCTGAGTGACTGCAGGGTGTGGCTGGAGGGGCGGGACTTCCTGTCTTTGGGTAATTCATGATTAAAATATCAGATATCTGTGGCTGCTTTGTCTGAGCAGAAGTCCAAATCGCGTTTATTCCGGTCAGGTCAGACTTTCAGATGTCTAAGATGGAAACTTCCCCTTTAATTCAGGTGAATGAAGCAATAAGAGATAAGATAAGATAGAACTTTATTAATCCCTCGGGTGGGTTCCTCTGGGAAATTCGATTTCCAAAAAAGCACAGCACCGACAGAAGTTACAGAGTTACAGAATAAATAGAAATAAAAATAAGAAATAAAAATACAAGTGAATTGCACATTTCAAGTATTGAGTCTATTGCACTGTTGACTATTTACAAAGGTATTGTACAGTGAGGTGAAGAGGCACTACAGCTTAGTTGTTCCCCCCTCCTTTGTCCTCCTGTTTCCCCTCCCTCTCCCCTCCAGAGAGGAGTTAAACAGTCTGATGGCGTGTGGGACAAAGGAGTTTTTAAGTCTGTTAGTTCTTGTTTTGGGGAGAAGCAACCTGTCACTGAACAGACTCTTCTGGTTGTTAATGGCTGTGTGCAGAGGATGCCTGGCATTGTTCATAATGTCCAGCAGTTTCTTTAGTGTCCTTTTCTCTGCCACTGTCACCAGAGTGTCCAGCTTCATGCCGACCACAGAGCCAGCCCTCCTGATCCGTTTCTCCAGCCTGGATGAGTCCTTCTTTGCTGTGCTGCTCCCCCAGCACACCACAGCATAGAAAAGTACTCCAGCAACCACCGACTGGTAAAACATCCTCAGGAGCTTCCTGCAGATGTTAAAAGACCTCAGCCGCCTGAGGAAGTACAGTCGGCTTTGGGCTTTTTTATACAGGTGCTCTGTGTTGCATGACCAGTCCAGTTTATTGTCCACCCACAGCCCGAGGTACTTGTACTTGTTGACCACCTCCACCTCCTCCCCCTCTATCTGAACCGGCAGTGGACCTGCTCTAGACCTCCCGAAGTCCACAACCAGTTCCTTAGTCTTTGAGGTGTTGAGTTGCAGGTGGTTTGTGTGACTCCATGCGACAAAGTTCCTCACCAGACTTCTGTACTCCTCTTCCTGATCATCCCAGATACACCCCATGATGGCTGTGTCGTCTGCAAACTTCTGAATGTGGCATAATTCAGAGTTGTAGCAGAAGTCAGAGGTGTACAGGGTGAAGAGAAGAGGGGACAGCACAGTTCCCTGCGGTGCTCCTGTGCTGCTGACCACCAAAAAGAAAGTGACAGGAAGGGAAACAAGCTGCTGAAACTAGAGACGTCACAGTGATGATCTCCACCACATCACTCAGCCATGCCTCAGATTTCTGCATTGCTGCTTCAGCTGCAGATTATTTAGACTCTGCACAGCAGCAGCAGGAGGGAACGTAGGAAGGAAGAACTCCCTTAGAAAGGAGGAAAGCAGAACCGCTAACTTGGGTTTCAGTGATCGAGTTTCTGATTCAAATCGGTTTTTAGTTTGAAAAAGTGACATCGATTCATTAAATCCTGAATCGGTTTTTAAATATAAACATATTTTATCAGAAACAGCAAAATCTGAGGTTAAAGGTCAAAGAACTCTCAGCTGTGTCTGTAATTTGCAGCATCAGGTAATGTTGAGTCATGGTTTTATTTTGAAAGTTATCTGCTATAAAAAGCCAGGCCAGGAAAATCTGCTTCATGTTTTATCCTCAGTTACTTTGACACAAAGACATCTGCTGTGATGAAGTCTCACACTGTCAGCTTTGTTTGTATGCATGGATATAAAATATGGAATGTGCTGATAAGTGATCAGAATTACAACATTTCTGAGTCAAAATCAAATCGATTCTAGAAGTGATGATACCCGGCTCTGCTGTCTTGTCCATAACCTCAAACACTGTGTCTTTGAGACAGAGCAGTGTGTTTGTGGCTGTTTCCTAACAAAGGAGACGTGACGTCCTCGGGCTTCCGTGTGTTGGGAACAGAATCGGAGGAAAACCTCTTCCTGCTGGTTAACCCGGCAGCTGGACGGCAGGATCAATGAACTGCCTGCTGGCTGTGGCTGTGTGGATGTCGCCGTTCCTCTTCGTCTCTAACCTTTGAACTCCGCTTCCCCACAGGTGATCACCCCGAGCTCAGCGAACGGAGGCAGCGGCAGCAGCAGGCCACCAACACGGGGAGGAAGATGGTGTATTGCCACGAGTGTAACAAGGGCTTCTACAAGAAGTCCCACCTGGAGGCTCACCTGCGGGTCCACCGGGGCCAGAAGCCCAACGAGTGCTGGCAGTGCGGCAAGACCTACCCGACCCTGATGAGCCTGGTTGTCCATCAGCAGGTCCACGACCGCACGGCGCCCTACCAGTGCTCCTACTGCGACAAGACCTTTGCTCTGAAGAGGGACTGGAAGACCCACCACCGGACGCACTCGGGCACCAAACCCTTTAAGTGCTGGTTCTGCGGGGACGGCTTCGGAGAGCAGGACGAGCTCAGCGAGCACCTGGAGCTTCACAGCGGCGAGAAGTGCTACCACTGCACCGTCTGTGATAAGATGTTCATATCCTACCAGGGCTTCAACTTCCACCGCAAGTCCCACAAGAGCCGGAAGCTGCTGCCATGCCCCAAGTGCAACAAGACCTTCAGCAACCCTCAGAGCCTGAAGCTGCACCAGGTGACCCACTCCAACAGGAAACCGCACAAGTGCCCCACCTGCGGCAAAGCCTTCAAGCTGCTGAGCGGCATGCGATGCCACCAGCGCACCCACGAGGATCTGAAGGCCTACCACTGCACTGAGTGCGGCAAGTGCTTCTCCAGCCTGCAGGGCTTGAAGCTGCACGACCGCACGCACACCGGACTCAAGCCCTACAAGTGCTCCGAGTGCGGCAAGCGGTTCACGCAGTCGCCCCATCTCAAGGCGCACATGGTGACCCACACCGGTGAGCGGCCCTTCCTCTGCACCACCTGTGGGAAACGGTTCACGCAGTCATCCCACCTGAGGTCCCACATCACGCTGTTCCACGTGGGCGAGAAGCCGTTCACCTGCAATGACTGCGGGAAGAGCTTCACCATCGCTCACTACCTGAAGGTGCACCGGCGCACGCACACCAAGGAGAAGCTGTACCAGTGCTCGTACTGCCAGAAGTCCTTCTCTTACCACAACTCGTGGAGGGCGCACGAGAGGATTCACACCGGCGAGCGGCCCTTCACCTGCCAGGACTGCGGCCAGAGCTTCATCACGTCTGGCTCACTGGTCAGCCACCAGCGCTCCAAGCACACTGGCGAGAAGAGCCACTACTGCATCACCTGTGGCGAGTTCTTTTTCACAAGCTCCATGCTGCGTGTTCATCAGCTCGACCACACCGGCGAGCGGCCGCACGTCTGCAGCTGCGGCAAGACCTTCAAGACCCGAGGTGTTCTGCGCTACCACCTAAAGAGGTTCACCGACCACCGGCCCGCTGAGTGAGGGGAGGGGCCTTTCAACACTACCCTGACATGTTTTATATGTTAATCACCGCCTGAGTTTCAGCAGGAGCTTCTCCAACCGCAACATGTCTTCTTCATGGTGGTCCTCAACCAACCAATGATCTCACAGAGCAGCAGCGCTACCATACTGTGCTGTTCTGACGTGAACTTTGACTCTATGGACATGAATGCTGCTGAGAAGCCACTCTAGTCTCCTGACTGTTAGCGCAGACCGTTAGCACGCAGTGTTGGGAAGGTTACTTTTAAGTGTGTCCCACTACAGATTACAGAATACATGCCCCAAAATGTATTTTGTAACGTTTTCCTTTACGTTACTCAATGAGAGTAACTATTCTGAATACTTTGGATTACTTCACATATTATCATGCTTTTTCTAACTACATGAATGTACTATTGCTGTGTGATTTATTACTTTTACTGAAGGTTACCTGCCATACCAACTACATGTTTAAACCTTAGTATAAATGAGTAACAGTAGGTGGACTTTAGGTAAGGCTGCACTTTTTGCAACATATGACTGTATCAGTCATGTTTTGTTTCTGTCTGCTAACCTCAGCTAACGCCAGCTAACAGTGTTAGCTCGGTGGTGAGTAGCCTTCAGTAATAGCAACAGTACATCACAGATACTGAAGTGGCACATGACCCAGGTAGCTACCACAGCTAAAACAAGCTAGCTGCAGTCGGCTAATGTTAGTTGTTAAACAGAACGTACTTCCAGATGTTTCTTTAGGTTGGAGTCTTTGACGCTGAGAGCAGCTCGGTTGCTGACAAACAGAGTTTGCATTGCACGCTCAGATTTCATCCCTCTCTCATTTAAATGTGGTTTCAGACTTTCCTAGTAAGAAATGCATTCCTGCCCGTGCACTGCTGGCTCTGCTGTGCTGGCTCCGGGTCCCACCAACATTAACAGGACGCTGACATTAGAGAGGGCATAGCCTAACATATGAAACTGGAAAAGACCAGATACACGTTTGTATTTTAAATACATAACACAGGTACATATATTCTGTTTCAGCCCAACACTGTTGGCGCTGACCGTTGGCGTTGCTGAGACCGTGGCGCTCTAAACCCAGCAGGCTTCCAAAGAATCAGCCATGATGTTTGTGCATTACGCTCTTGGTGACACCGTGTTTTTAGCGGTGTGCATCATGTCATTACCAATAAAGTTTGACCTGCAGCTTCACCTGTGACTTCTCTTGTTGTTCCCCCTGACAGCTAAGTGACAGTCACCTGTCACAGGTGTGTTAAAGGTGCACCATGGTGTGTGTGTGTGTGTGTGTGGGGTTTTTTTTGTTTTTTTTAGCATAAGGACAAATGAAGGCTTTCAAAATAAATGACCCCACACAAACTCGGCTCCGGAAACTGTGCCAGTATAATTTAAAGAGACAGAAACATGTCCAGCAGTGGCGGAGCGTGGGGGTGGCTTACTGGGCTTAAGCCCAGGTTGTTTTGTCAGAAGCCCGGGGTCTTTTGGAGTAATTTTTTCATAGTTAGATGTCTGGCTGACAACTGTATAAAACAAAAAACTACACACAAAAAACAAAAAGATGAATAACCAATACAAAAATAAATAAGAATAAAAAAAATTAAAAATCAAGGAACAGAAATAAAGAAGACAAGGGGAATCATAAAATCTCTAAAAGTGAGGTTCCATAAACAAGACACATAACTTAAATAAGGGGCTAAGAAAAATCAAACTCTTCTAAAAATCTATGCATTTTGATTGCTTGGGGCTTATTTATTAACTTAAGAGATTTACGGAACAGGGAGAGGTCGTTTTTAAGAGCAGGCCATGAAGGGGGGGATTTAGCATATCGGCATTTATGTATGTAATACTTTAAAGGCACGGACGGTGCAGCAACACTCAGGTAAGCTGTGCCCCGCCCCCATCACACTGCAGGATGGACCCCTGCTTCCAGACTCATAACTTGCCTGTTAGAGGCTTAGAAATTATCCTTTCAAAATAAATGAGAATTAATGACGAATGGAGTAAAAATCTCGTCATTTTATGTTATTTTCACTGTATCTGTTTAATAACATCTCAATAAGAAATTGAGATATTTGTGGAGATATTTGTTGATCGATTTTTTTCAATTATTCGACACTGGAGAGATTCTTTGCATTTATTTTGAAGGCGCAGGGTCTGAAGTCGTGTTTTCCGCTCGTTATGTAAACAGTAAAGATGGCGGCCTCCGGTGTTCTCCGTGCTGTCCTCAGGCAGACTCTGAGCAGGTTCGGTAGTTTCAGATGGAGCCTGCGTCACCCGCGAGCTGCACACAGGTGAGCGACCGGAAACTGCGCACCAGGGTAAGTCACATTTCACACGATTTGGGCCTCCCGCGTCCTCACACCAGAGTCCATTCAAAAATCTGCAGCTTTTACAGCTTCTCTGGTCCGCATCACTGCAGCCAGGGTGCAGTGCTGATGGGCAGAGGAAGGTTGCTGGTTTGAATCTCTGACAACAACAAACATCAGCAGCAGAACAGCTGGAGTAACATCTGCACCTGTGCTCTGTTACACACACACACACACACACACACACACACACACACACACACACACGACCAGAACTTGTCAACCAGGTGTAACGACGTGGTAATGTGACAGTAACCGTGGCAACCATATCATGTGCATGTGAACTAAAAGTTTTTACTCGCTTCTGCAGTCTGAGCATTAACACTGTCAGAAGTCAGAGCAACGCTGTGACATCACAGCCTGTGGAGGGCTCGCGCTGCTCGGCATGCTGGGTAACCGTGAGCGGAGGAGGAGGAGGGGTGCTGTGGGCAGCGCTCGGTATGGTTGGTCACAAACATTGTTCTTCATCAGCTTTCATAACCTGTTCCTACTTCCTGTCACCTCTGTGACCTCACACTGTGTGTGTGTGTGTGTGTGTGTGTGTGTGTGTGTGTGTGTGTGTGAAGCCTTCTCCCTGTTTGGCAGCAGTGAAGAAGATAAACGCGATGAAGCTCAGAGGAAGGAGGACGAGATGATCCTGCTGCTAAAGAAAGCCAAGGTACCACACACACACACACACAGCAGTGCTACTGTGTATGTGAGATGCTGTATATTAAAGAATAGTATGTCCTGACCAGTGCTGCTTAAAGAGGACATGAAACTGTCTGTGACGCTGGGTTTAAGTAACAAAGTTTAAAAACATGTTCAGCAACATCTGCCGTCAGAGTGGAGTCATGTGATTGGTTGGTTGTGGCCAACAGACTGTAGTGCTGCAGCGATGAGTTCCTGTTATAAACCAGGAGAAAGTGTCCACGTCACTGTCTGCTGCAGGAAGTGGCTGTTTGGGTAAAAACCAGCTGTTAGCCGTGATGTTGGGCTTTGTAAAGCACTTTATGAACGAGGGCTGAGTCTGTGTGACAAGGGACGGGTGTGTGACAGGGGACGGGTGTGTGACAGGGGACGGGTGTGTGACAGGGGACGGGTGTGTGACAGGGGACGGGTGTGTGCCAGGGGACAGGTGTGTGCCAGGGGACGGGTGTGTGCCAGGGGACGGGTGTGAGTCAGGGGACGGGTGTGTGCCAGGGGACGGGTGTGTGCCAGGGGACGGGTGTGTGCCAGGGGACAGGTGTGTGACAGGGGACGGGTGTGTGCCAGGGGACAGGTGTGTG